TAGTTATTTCCTCTTCTCATATGCATTGCTTGTTTTAGTAAACATAAGGTGAATTTTGTCCCTATTTACCATATGTTTTGGTTACCTCGTGCCACTCTGACAGGAGTATACCACAAATGGGATGGCTTTAACAAACAGGAGTTTATTCTCTTACAGTTTTGGAGGTTGAAAGTCCAAGTTCAAAGTGCGAGGCTCTAAGGCCTGGGTGAAAGCCCCTCAACCTTGGGCTGCAGCTCTACCTCTGGCTCCAGGCCCACTGACAAACCCAAGGTTGACAAGTAACAAGGCACAGTCTCAATATTACCAAAGCACATGGCATGCCATTGATTCAAGTCCATTAAGAGTCCCAAGATCAGCAGACAGCATGGTAGGCTGCTGAACAACAACTCAGCTACATGCAAGGTCCAAGCGTGCCATAAGCTAGAGGCCTTTGTCAAAGCTCCTGCTTGTATACTGGAAGCAGCCCACATTCCTAAAGCAGCTACTCAGCTGCTCACAGTAGATTCCACCATGGAGTTGATTACCAATCTCACCATAGGGAATAACTACTTCCAGCTGCCCAGCCACTCAACCAGCCCGAGCCAAGTTGACACACAACCTTAACTTAAGCTGTTCAGCAGTCAGGACAACTATTGTGATGCATGGATGTTTCATCTGTTCATTCCTATGCCCATTCATTCATTAAATGAGCACCTGCTATTTCCTAGATACTGTGTTAAGCCGTAGGCCCTCAAGGCAATTGAGATAGACATGGGCCCTGCCTTAAAAGAGCTTAGATTACATACATGGTGTGGTAATACCATGTGTCTGAAATTTTCAAAATTGCCTTACCTTGTCTAATACCTAGCAAGCATATTTTCCAAAACTCCTGAATAGAATTGTCTCCAGGATGAAAATAATTGTCACAAGGAATTATCAATCTATGGATTTTTAAAATTTTAATAATCTTTGCAAGGGAGATGCATTAGCTCTCCAGCTTCCTTATCACCGAGTGCACTCAGAGCATATGCAGTCAGTGGGACTTAGGGGATGTTCTTGTGCACCATCTTCCTCCTGACTGCAATTAGCCCTCCCTGCTCTCTGCATGTGCCTAATCATAACACGCATCACATTCCACTCTAATTGCTTGCTGAATTGTCTGTCTTCCCTTCTCCTTTCTAAGCTCTTTTAAGGTAGGGCCCATGTCTGTCTTCGCCACCTTGATGGCCTAAGGTGTAACACAGTATCTAGCAAATAGTAGGTGCTCACTTAATGAATGAATGGACATAGGAATGAACGAATGAAGCATCCATGCATCACAATAGTTGTCTTCCCTGTTGAACAGCTTTGTTTTTACTGCTTTCTTCTTTAATTTCATTGTTGTTGTTGACTGCTAGCTAGTTGGCCCCTGACAATTCCATGCATAACTGGATCTGACCATTGTGATCCATAGAGTTTTCATTGGCTGATTTTCAGAAGTAGATCGCCAGGCTTTTTTTCCTAGTCGGTCTTAGCCTGGAAGCTCCACTGAGACCTATTCAGCATCATAGAAGCATGCAAACCTCCACTGACAGACAGGTGGTGGCTGTGCATGAGGTGTACTGGCCAGGCATTGAGCCTGGGTCTCCTGCATGGCAGGTGAGAGTTCTACCACTGAACCACTACTTCATCACTAGTTTCATACCGATTGAAAAGTATTTGTGTTGTATCATGTAGAGAAGAGCATTTCAGTGGCTCACCCAGATTAAGTGAACTTTGAGTTGGCCCTAGGAATGGGGATGATTTTGTGGTCTTCCATTTGCCTTCTTCTTCCTGTGGTTTGTGTGTGTGTGTGCTTTAGGTGCAAATTTACAGATCAGAATTTGTTTTTCATTCAACATTTCATGTCCATTTGGTTTCACTCCCCAGTTGCCATCCCCAAACCTAATCCACCCTCCTCCTCTTCCTTCCCAGTGACTTCCAGCCCATCCCTGTGTCCTTCTCAGTTATGCACTCCTGTCTGAACAGCTTTTCCTCCGTGTGACTATTGCCCCTCTGGTGCCCTATGGCCGATTGCTCCAAGGGCTGTATCTCCATAGAGTAGGTGGGTGCATCGCCCTGGGTTGAGTGTTCAGCATGTAAGTCTTATTACTGTTGGGCTGAGAGCCAGCCCTTGGGAGTGAGTTTTATCTTATTCCCAATGTATATCCCAGGGCCATAGTCTTGGGGGTCCTACCAGACTCCATCTAACCAGTAATTCTGGTCATTATTATGTTTTTGGATTTTGTTCCACATTTTTCCTCCCACTCTATCCAGGATCTCCAGTTTTGAGCCCTTTCTGAGTGGTTGGCATTGGTAGCCAGGCACTATCTCATTCTTCTGGTCTTGAGGTCCATACTGTCCGAGGGCTGCTCATTTCCAAATGCCATTGGTTTTCTTCATTCTTCTTCACTTCTGATGAGAGGAGACCATTAGCTGCATCTCAGTTTACTAATTAGTGCCAAAGTTAACAGTGGAAGTTGTATCATTATTTCTACTACAAATTACCAGTGTTTACTGTGTGCTAAGCATAGTGCTGAGTTTTTCATATGAATTCTGTGAAGGTATACAATGTGTTGTTTATCCCCATGCTACGGATGAGAACCTCATTTCCCAAATCATAGAGCTAGCAGGTATCAGAGCCAGGGTTTAAACCCAGGCAATCCACCCAACCTGGTGGTACATTGCTAACCCTTATGGAATTGGTTGTCATGTGTTAAATCTACTTCAGATTAAAATGCATCTCTTCCCACGTTCTGTATTCCAGCTTTTCACTTCAGTGTCAATCATGTATGAATTGCTTTTCATAATTCTCAGTGATCCCAATAATAAACAGATCAGAGAGTAATGTGTTCCTCTTCAGATTAAAAAAACTAAGGCAATAATGTTAAGTGAGTTATCCATGGCCATACCACAGTAGAATGTCACTGCTTCCTCTTGACCATTGGTGGCCCCAAACTGTTAAAGTTTTGGAAGAGTTTGGAGGGTTTTAAGATCTAGGGGCATCTCTGCTTCCCTGCAAGTTCTGCGTACGTGAAATGGAGACCTAGAGCAGAGTGTTACTCATTCTCTTGTATTTGGTTTCTATTCATGCAGCATTATTCCAGGTCCCATGCTTTTCACCATGAAAGGTCTCTGTGAACCAGAGAGAGGCGTTCTGAAAGAAGCTATTAAGCATTATTAATACAATTACATATAACAAAAGACATAATTTAACTTCCTCACATCCAACAAAGAAATTCATTTGAAGCTTCAGAAACTCCAGCTGGAAGGACAGAGCTCATCACAGTGGCTTCTTCAGGCAGGAGGTGTGGGCAAGGAGGCGTGCTGGCTGCTTTATCCTCTGGGACGCCTCTGTGCATGATGATATACACCTCTCTCCTGCTCCCTCCTCTTCCACAATCATCCTTATCACAGGCACAGAGTCGGAGTGTTGGCTTTGCTTGCGCTTGTCTCTCACCTGGCCCAGGATAACACAGGCAGCTTTGAAAGAACAATTGATTTTGCAAAATAAAAGGTGACCATGGATACACTTACAGGGTAGAGACAGTTCCCATCCGACTGAGAGGAAGGCCTTGTGTGCATTTTTCTGACTTTGCCCAGAATAGCAGAAATAACTGTTATTTATTGCATGTGAGACATTGAGTTAACCCTCTGGTAGCATAGTGGCTAAGACATTTGCCTGCTAACCAGACCGCTGGCGGTTCAAACCCACCAGCCACTCCTCGGAAGGAAGGTTGGGCAATCCTACTTCCGTAGTGATACTGCCTTGGAAACCCAAGGAGGGGTCGCTATGAGTCGGATTTGACTCGAGGGCACATAACAACAACAACAACAACAACACTTCTGTTAGACAGTTTTACTTTCTGTGTTTGCATTAGAACATAAGCTTTATGAGAACAGAGACCATATCCATCCCCAGTCTCTAGAACAGTACATAGCACATAGTACGTGTTCAGTAAGTAGTTTTGAATGTATGAGTGGAACAAATGAGGAAATTGAAGACTCCAAATATTAAGTTACTTGTCCAAGGTCAGATTCCTAGCCAGAGGCAGAGCAAGGATTCGAAACTAGTACTGTCTGACTCACTAGAGTTCTTCTTTGTGGTTGCTTCAGTAGGCCTCTTTGTGATACAGAGAATTAGAGATTGGAGGCTCAAAGGTATTTAACATTCAGTCCAGGAAATGTGAGTCTGGACCTTCTTTCGCTGAAACTCTCTCAGTGTGACTTTGGGGGGAAAAGAACTTCAAAACCTCAGTTCCAAATCTATAAAATGAGATTGAAGCATTGTTCTCTAAAGGTTTAAGGGTCTTCAGATGCCCCAGGGCAGACTTATGTCTTGTAACGTCCCATGCTCATTTGGAGTCCCAGGAGGGGGCAGGGGGTGACTAACACATCACCTAAGCGTATAAGGAAAGCAGTAACTTTTGGGCACAAAAACTCAAAGGTGATATAGTCCCTGGTCAACAAAAACTCAATGTTCTAAAATGAAAATTGAAGAGAGAAAAGAAAAACAAAGTAGAGGCATTTGGAGGCTTGAGACAGCTTTTGGGTGGGGGGCGGGGGAGACAGCTCTGATTGTACTCTTGAGCTGCTGGTTCTACAGCAGGCAGGCATTTAATCTGAAACAGACTCTCAGGTTGATAGCTGTGCCCAGATTAGATTCCTGCCCAGAGTAGATTCCAGCACATAGGAGCACAACCCTTAAAAAGAAAATCTAGGTGTGTCTTTTTAAAAACCTTTCTGATTCTATGTGATTTTTTTTTTTTTTTCACTCATTTGGGGGCTGCATAGCTGAGGCCTTTGCATCCAGCAAAGCTTTCCTCCTCATCTCCAGGGTTTAGGGATTATTGATTTGGAAGATAAGGCTAATTTACATGTAAATAAATCTCCAGGCTGGGCAGACTGGGCCGGCCAGATGCCATGACGGACTTGCTGACATCACGGCTTCATTAGCATGCAGAGGATGCGAGGTCTGCAACAGCGACTTCTCGGCTCCGCTAGCAGCTCCGCCGATGATAATGATTATTTTTTTGGCCGAGCTGCTTATTTCCTGGTTCAACGTCTTGTGCTCTGCAAGCAGCTGACTGGTCACCCCGGGTCTGGCTTAGGATCAGTTGGTGACGCCGAGGCTGAAGTCAGTGACTTCCTTCGGATGGTTGTCAAGAAAGGTCTTTAAAACGAAGCTAGGTTCTCAGGAAGATGATCGGAGCTTGAAGACAGATCCAGAGGAAGGGGAGAAGTCACACTTTTCCACCCGCCTTGGTGAACCCCTCAGCAGGGTCTTAAGCCAACAACCCTCTTTTCCATGAGTGAATGCAGTGCAGCTTGGGTGGGAGGCTGCTGGCTGCTTCAGGAAGGGTCCAGATTTTGAGAACTGTCTTGACAAGAAGATGCTTTGGCTGCCAGCAGTCCAGCCTGCATTCTTAGGAGCCAGTCTCAGGGAGAAAGTGAACTAGGGCAATTGACAAGCTCAGCTGGTCTGGTAGAAGCTTCCTCTGAGACTCTTTCATCCTCCCTGGAGGTAGGTAAGAAATTTATTCTAATTCACAAATTGAAACCAGAGCATAGTTTCTAGTAAGGATGAGTGCACTAGATTAGAGGCTTTGCATTTGAGAAGGACCTTGGGGCTACATTACCTAGACCAGGTGGCATTTTAGGTAGCCTTCTGGCACCTTTGAAGGAGCTCTGGTGGTGCAGTGGTTAAGGTGTTCAGCTGCAAACTAAAAAAAAAAGTCGGTGGCAGCTCCTCCACAGGAGAAAGATGTGACTCTCTGCTTCTGTAAAGATTTGCAGCCTTGGAAATCCTATAGGACAGTTTTACTCTGTCATACAGGGGCACTATGAGTTGGGGTTGAGTGAATGGCAGTGGGTTTGGTTTTTTAGTTTTCTGGCACCTTTTGCCTTTCCTTTGCATGTTAGGAAGCTCAATTGCAAAGTGATACATGTTACAGCTATACAGCATCCTGAAGAAATGTTTCATCAGTGCTTAAGAAGCAGCGTATTTCTTAAGAAGAACATTTCAAGGAGTGTCGTTCCCTTGAGAAAAAGAGTAAAGACAGAGAGGGTTAAACAACAAACACCTGGCAGTGTTCATGTACAGTGGAGTCATTTCAGCCCGGAATGTCAGAAACTGTGAGGAACGAGGTTTTAACTGGGACTTCCAGGTAGAGAAGTGATGCTCGATTTATTTAGACTTAATTTTAGCCACTGCTTTCAGATTAGAAATAGCGACAGAGCTGCAGAGTATGACTGCACAGCCTGCAAGAAACACATGACTCCGTTTGTTCTCCAAACTGGGTTTCTTGGAGGAGTGTTCCTGGTTAGTTCGCCTTGCTTCTCTTGGTTTCCCGAAAGCCAATCATAGCATTACTAATCTGTCCCGGCGTTCTTGAGATGGAATATAGATTTTTAATCCCACTATTCTTTGTTCTGTGGTTTTTTTCTATGCTGGGGTCCAGTGGGACCTCTATGAACCATATGTAATTCAGCCTGGGCCGAGTCACATGGAGGTAAGTGAGCTGTACCCAGTGCAGTGCCATCCACTGGTCCAAGCTTGGCTTTTGTATAACTTAGGTAGAGAGATGATTTCCCCAGAGAGCGAGTTCTGCTTACTGTGTTAATGCTTCCATGGCCACAGTTAGGGGAGGGCTCTGGTGTGCCGGGAATAGATATACCTTGACTGCCATATACCAAGTTGGAGGCTTGCAGGGCTGAAATTTGCTTTGCTTGAACATCTCTTCCGGGAGAGTGTTTTAAGCCATCTCTGTGAGATTTAAACGAAATGAAGCAACCTCGCCTCCTTGCTAGAGGCCAAATTGGCTGCTCTAATCCTGTTCCCCAGAAGGCTTACTGGCTGCTGATGACTTTCACAGATGGGTCAAGATGAGTGTCCCTGCAGGCTCCAGAGTAAGTCCCAACTTTGGCAGAATTACCATATTCTGGAAATTTGGATTTTAATGCCTCCTCCAGTGCTTGTAAAGGTTTCGCCTTTCCATCAAATGCTCTTTCCCCTCAGGAATTCTTTTTTAATGTAGCAATTAAAACACATAGGCTCCATCAGTCATTGCAGTCTGTGTAAACAGTCCCAGACAGCCAGAAAGAGTAAAACAGCATCATTTGAAATGGCAGGTTTACAAAGGTGTACCCATGCAGTGTGGAAAGAAAGACATACAGGAAGATGCATTTATGGAAGCTTAAGGAATGAGAAGGGAACTTAGAGGTTAGATGGAATGATGTTACCAAGGCTTGGGCTGTGGATTCACAAAGAGCTGAAATACTCAGAGGTACCTCTCCAAGCATTGATTCCTTATCTTTAAATTAGGCTAGAGTAGAACCCTAGAGGCAGGCTAGGTGTGAGGATTAAATGAGCCGACATAAGAAAAGCACTTAGCACAGTGCCTGGCCTCATAATAAATACTCAGTAAATGTCAGCTTTTATAGTGGTTGTTGCTGTTGTTACCTTTATATTGTTATTATTATAAGTGTTTTTGCTAGAAACAAAACCAGCTACTGAAAAGGAAATATGTGCAGATCCATTGATTTGCAAAGAGGTTTTGTTATAGTGGAAATGGTGCTATCTGCAGTCACTGTGATGTCCAAATCCATTCTCACTCAAAGAAACTTTTCATCCTATGGTTCGGGTCAACAGCATGAAACGTATTACCCAGGGCAACTGTATTCTACATAACTAAAAGTGACCGGATGATTTGATTAAAATCATTTAGTGTTAGCTGGAGCCCAGGCCTTAAATAAGGCCTCCTCTCTAGGCAGCTGACAGTCACATGTTGAAAGCGGTGGGATCCAAATTGGAATCAGTGTATTTCTGGATTTCTTTTCTGCTCCAGCTTTGCATGTAAGAGCCAGTCCCTTTTTTTTTTTTTTTCTTCTTTCTTTTCAGTACAGACACTTAGCATTTTCTTTTCCATCCAGAGATGCCTTTGAATGTATGACCCACCTGCTGGTTGGCTCCTCTGAAGTTCCAAGATTGAATTTTTGCTGCCATATGGGTTGCTTCAGCTTATGGGTAGGCTGTTGAGGGAAAGGAATAGGCCTTCCCTGCCCACCTAGCCATGACCCAGTCCTTCCTGCCTTAGTTTTGTGTCTGCTGACATGATACATTTTTGCTACACTTGTGATCTTACTCCTTCATGCCAGTGAACATGCTTTAACCACACAATTTGACAACCATTTCTCCTTTTCCCTTCAACATCTTTCTTGTTAATTTATGTGAAATGGAACTCTGGTGCATGGGTCCAATTGGCAAATTAGCAGTGAATGAGAGGAGTCAGAGATGTCTGGCATAGGCTTTTTTCTCAGTCAGGAAATACAGAATTGGAAGTTGATAATTCCTGGTTGCAAATGATCTTCAGTAGAATTGTGTTTTGCATGGAGAGTGATATTTGGACCTTGATTACATAGCCCATCTTCAGTGTCTCCTGATTACATATGTGATCATGAGAGAACTGCCTAACCTTTCTGGATGTTGGACTTCATTTCCTCTTGGTGCCGATGACTTCCATATTTACCATTTAATTCCCTCCTTGTGAACAACAGAGAGAGGAGTTTCAATGCTCATTTGACAGAGGAACATCAGAGAGGTAAAGTAACTTGCCCCAAACCACACAGCTGGTGACAATTCTGGTACCTAGTTTAGTGCTTCTTCCAGTACACACTGATTCCAAATACCCTATGAGAAGATTCAAACCCTATACTGTATGGCTGTCTTGTATTACTAGAGGCCTCCAGGCCATGGCCTTTTCCCTTCTCTGTTGTTTTCAACCACAGAGAAGTCAAAATGCACTGCCCCTCAAGGAGGGATTCTGGGTGGGATTTGGTTGAGGATTTTGTGTGTGTGCTTGAAGATCCTCTATAACCTTTCTCTATTCACTCCCTCCATGCCTGTAGTGCTTGCAATCAGATAACTGCTAGTGAACAGGAACTATTGCAAAGAAGCTTGGGAAATAGGCACTGGCAATGCTGTTTTCCTCATTGACACTCTTGACTGACACTTTCTACTTTGTTCTTCTCCCAACCCATAAAGACTTTTAATGAAAGATTCTGGCTTTTATACCTAATCTCTCTCTCTCTCTCTCTCTCTCTCTCTCTCTCTGTGTGTGTGTGTGTGTGTGTGCTCTTGAATAAGCAAGGGAGAAAATGTTGAATAAGACCATTCTGAATTTCCACCAACATAAGTTTCCAAAATCTCTTAGGGAACTTGGCCAGTTGGGTTTGGAGACTTGGTTTTCTGTTTTACTCTGGCCTGTTGTTTGAGCAGTTCTTTGTCTGGAGACTAAAAACTGGAGGCTTGCTGATTCCATGATTTCCCTGGGGACAAGGCCGAGGAAAAAAAAGCAAGGCTGGAGTGTGTGTGTGTGTATGTGTGTGTGTATTTAGATGTAGGAGTTAGGAAGAGGGGAGAGGAGGGAAGACAGAATGGGGGAGCAGCTGAGAGAATATCAGAGAAATCTCCAGTTGTCCATGCAAGCACAAAGCTGAAAGTTCCCTTTGAGTGAAGTTGCCCCTGAGAAATCAAGAGCCTCATTCACCTTTAGCTAGGAGCTGTCTCCCCATCTTTGCTACAGATCTCAAAATGTGGCCATTTTAAAATTCTAAAGCCCTGTTAGGACCTCTGGTGGCATAGTGCCTAAGGCACTTAACTGCTAACCAGAAGGCTGGCGGTTCAAACCCACCAGCCACTCCTCAGAAAGAAGGTTTGGCAATCTACTTCTGTAGTGATACCACCTTAGAAACCTGACTGGATGGCACATAACAACAGCAATGACAAAGCCCTCTTAGGGGTTTAACATATTGCATATTTTCAACAAGAGCAGAAACAAAACAAAACAAAAAAACTGTATTAATGAGAACAAGCACATTTTCCAAGTACATTGACAGCCTGGCTTTCCTTGGTGGTGCAGGATAAACTTCTAGCACATATTTGGCTATAATGTCTATAAAATTCAAGTTGGTCAAACCAAAGACTAACATATAAGAGGTTACATGGAAAATGACATATACCACCCTGGAAGGCACAGACTGCAGAGACATCAGTGGTAGGAAGTGGGATCTTCAAAAAGTTCAGGTGTGACCTCATTTGAAAATATCACCATTGTCAGTCATGCTGGCAAATTCTGTTGTCTGCCTTCCTCCTGGTCCTACATTTGAGCTGCTGTAAGTAAACTATCCTGGGGTACTGATGAGATCACAGGTACCATTCATCCCTTGGGGTGTGGAGCAGAGATGGACTCTAGGCTGGTACCCAGCACCCTGACAGTCTTCAGTGATGAATGGCTGATTTGAGTTGTCTCAATTACTCTCACTGGAAATGCCTTCCACCTCATATCTTCATCCCCTCCTTAAGGTCCCTGGGTGGTGCAAATGATTTGCTCTTGGCTACTAATCAAAAGGTTGGCAGTTTGAAGCCACCCAGCAGCACCATGGAAGAAAAAGCCTGGCTGTCTGCTTTTGTAAAGATAACAGCCAAGAAAACCCTATGGATCTCCGTTCTATTCTGTAATATGC